AAGAAAGAAAGAAAGAAAGAAAGAAAGAAAGAAAGAAAGAAAGAAAGAAGGAAGGAAGGAAAGAAAGAACGGAACTGCTAAAATATGGCTGACTATGGTTTGTTTGTTGTCTGAGTAGTTGCTAATTGAATTATAATACTAACCCATAACATTTTCCCACTATTTACTTCTGAAAATAGTAAATGTCACCTAAACAATGAAAGTATAATTGAGTACTTGACTATCCTTCGTGATCTAAATATGACATTCAAGATAGCACTTGGTTGCTTTCACTTACCTTCCTGGCCTTGATTTCCCTTCTCGCCCTTCTCTCCTGGAGGACCAGTTAATCCGCTTGGGCCTGTGATTCCTCTTTCACCAGGTTCCCCTTTGGATCCTGGAAAGCCTGTTTAGCAGGTTAAGCACACTAAATGTAAAGGCAGAAGTTTTCTCATGTGTATAGTCTCTGATTTGTTTTCAGTTGTAACATCATCATAACACAACTAATTTGCTTACTATCTGCTTCACCGAGGACAATCACAGTCTAATCAATTAGCTCTTTCTATTAACGATGAAGCTGTATATCTTGTTTCTGGGTCAACAGGCGCTTGAGATCATTTGTCATGTGAGTGATGAATTAAGACAGATTTTTCTCAATCTGGAGTTTCTACATGATTTAGAAGGTAGCCTCCATAACTCACAACGAGAATGCCAAATTAGCTAGAGCAGGGGTGTCAAACTCGATTTCATTGAGGGCCGCATTAGGATTGTGTTTGACCTCAGGGAGGGGGTGGTGGCAGAGTGGCGTGGCCAGGGTGGGTGGGCCACTCGATGTCACTCATGTTGGGGGCACCTGTGGTGGCCCAAGTGCTCTGCCAGTGAAAACGGGATCCCGAGCTCCGTTTCCAGCTATGATGGCCTCCTGCAACCCTCTGGCAGCAAAAACGGAGCTCAGGAGGGCTCTGTTTTCACTGGCAGAGGCGCCATGGGCCAGTCCTTCGCTGTTTCCAGGGCAACCCAGTGGGCTAGATCTGGCTCCTGAGCCTTGAGTTTGACACCCCTGAGGTGGAGAATTATGAGAAACAAAGCCCATCTAGAAGGACTCAATTTAAAAAAATTGTGCTAATTTGGGTCACAGAAGTGTTCTTACTTTAGGCTGAAACAATTACCACACATTTAACTTGCAACATTTTTTTAAAAAAAAATCACAGCTGTGAGCTGGGGGAGTTGAGTTTTGGGTTTAGCTTGGTTGGATTTGGATAAATGATTGAACACAGTGTGGAACAGGGAATAAAGTGCTTGTCAAGAGGAGAGACATATAAGTAAATTACATAACATACATAAAATGTGCTGGAGGGGGTGGTTTTAATGTAGTTTGGAAAAACTATTAGGAAAAAAAAAATCATAGACAAACTTAATTTGTCTATGATTTTCTTTCTAATAGTCATGACATTTCCTAAAAGTCAGAAGCAGGAATCATACTTTCATCAAATTGGTTGGATTTTATGATTTATCTTAATAACAATAATTATATTCAGAGTACTTCTTATATATGATAACTTTTCACATGTATAGTACTCGATTTAATTTACATGGTAGATTTTTTTTTCTACACTGTGTCTTTATGTTAATGTAATAGCTACCCATATTGTAATAAGAAAAATAAATAAGCTACGTTTCCTTTAAAAATGAACCTGAAAGAAATTAGGCCTTACTGATATCAGATGCAGATATCAGTAAGGCCCCAAAAATGATAGATGGCAGCAAAGAAATACAAGAAACTCTGCCATCTAGTGATAGCCTAGGTTTACAAACCAAATTTGGTAGCCTTAAGCTTGACAATCTATTTCCTGAGGGCAAACTCAGGTAGCAAAAGCAATATCATAAGGTTTCTGGTGGGAAGCCATGCTACACTGATGGATTCATTCTGTTTCATCCCCAGACTGTAATTTACACAGCCCTAACCCTGCAAAACATCTGATATAGTCCAGAGAATCAAGATAATAGACGAGAATATTTGTAACTCAGGGTTGAACTGTGGGTTCTTGGTGCTCTCTGATTTTGATTGGTTTCTTGCAGACATTTCATATCCCAATTAGGTAATATCATCAATGGCAAGCAGTTGGGTAATGAAACACCTGCAGGCAAACAACCAATAGCAATAGCAAGACCACTTAGACTTATATACCACTTCATAGTGCTTTACAGCCCTCTCTAAGCAGTTTTACAGTATCAGCAGATTGCCCCCAACAATCTGGGTCCTCATTTTACTGCGGATGGAAGGCTGAGTCAACCTTGAGCCTGGTGAGACTTGAACTGTCCAACTTCTGGCAGCCGGCAGTCAGCAGAAGTAACCTGCAGCACTGCATTTTAACCACTACACCACCTAAACCAAGTTCTAGAGCAGGGGTCCTCAACCACCGGGCCGCGGACCGGTCCCGGTCCGTGGAGCACTCTGTACCGGGCCACAAAGAAAAAAAAATAAAAAAATGGCGGCTTTCTTCGCCTTCGGTGAATGCTGCTGGGATCAGGGATCAAGGACACAAATGAAAGAAGGGGGGGAGGAAGCAACTGAAGCCTGTCCTGCTCTCTGGCTCACCGGCTTCGGTTTCCTCCCGCCTCGTTCCTCTCTCAGTCGCCCTCTCACTGCTCCACCAGCCCAGGAAGAAACTGCTTCAAAGAAGCCGGGGGGGTGGCTTTTCCTGTCGCCGCAGCTCCTCCGAAGCGTCCGTTCACCCCCACCCCGCCCACCCGCGCGCGTTTCAATTCAGTGCCCCATTCTGCCTGCCTGCCTGTTTGGTTGTTTGGGAGCAGCTTCGGCTGAGAATAATAACTATTCGCCTCTTTTTATCAGCCGAAGCTGCTCCCAAACAACCAAACAGGCAGGCAGGCAGGCAGAACGGGGCACTGAATTGAACCGCGCG